CTTTCTGGATATGAACTCCAATGCACAGGCAACAAAAGCAAAAATATGCACATGGTATTACATCAAAGTAGAAAGCTTCTATACAGAAAAGGAAGCCAACAGAGGAAAGAGACAACATGCAGAATGGGAGAAAATATTTGCAAGTTACACAGCTGATGAGGAGTTAATATACAAAATATACAAGGAACTGAACTCAATAGCAAGAAAACAAAAATAACTGATTAAAAAATGGGCAAAGGACTTTGCTATAGGTTACATGTGTCCCCCATATGTTCACGTGTTAGAAACTTGATCCCCATTGCAACAGTGTTAAGGTGAGAAATTTGATAATAGTATTTGAAAGGTGGGGTCTTGAGAGGTGATTGGACTAAAGGACTCTGTTCTCTTGAATAGATTAACCTATTCATGGACTAAGGAGTTAATGTTTAAATGGGTTATCACAGGTGTGGATGGTGGCATTATAAGGAGAGCATATGAAAGAGCTCTTGCCATTCTTGCCATGTGGTAATCTGTGTTGCCATGGGACCCTGTAGAGAGTTTCCACCTTGAAAAACGTCCTCACCCGATGCGCCACCTTGACTGTGAATTTCCAGCCTTCCAAACTGTAAGAAATAAATTTCATTTCTTTATGAATTACCCAGTTTTAGGTATTCTGGTATAAGCAACAGAAAACAGACATGAGTAGACATTTCTCCAAAGAGGACATACAAATGACAACAGATACACGAAAAAATGTTCACCATCACTAATTATCAGGGAAATGCAAATTAAAACCCCAGTGAGCTATCACCTCAGCCCTGTTAGAATGGCTGTTATCAAAAAGATGAAAGATAACAAGTGTTGGTAAGGATGTGGAGAAAGGGAATCCTTACACACTGCTGGTGGGAATGTAAATTGGTACAGCCAGTATGGAAAACCATATGGACATTCTTCAAACAATTAAAAATAGAAGTATCATATGATCCAGTAATCCCATGATTGGGTATATATCCAAAGTAAATGAAATTGGTATGTGAAAGAGATATCTGCACTCCCATGTTCACTGCAACATTATTGACAATAGCCAAGATATGAAATCTTAGCCAAGATGTGAAATCAATCTAAGTGCCATCACCAACAGACGAATGGAGAAATAAAATGTGGTATATATGCACAATGGAATACTATTTGTCTTTAAAAAAGAAGAAAATCCTGTCATTTTTGACAGCATGGATGAACCTGGTGGATGTTATGCTAGGTGAAATAAGCCAGGCACAGATAGGCAAATACTGTATGATCTCACTTATGTGTAGAATCTAAAATAGTCAAAGTCATAGAAGCAGAATGGTAGTTACCAGGGTCTGAGGGTCTGGGAGACAGACTGGGGAGATGTTGGCCAGAGGATACTAAATATCTATTGATACAGATCTATTGTACAATATGGTAAATATAGCTACTAAGAGAGATCTATTGTACAATATGGTAACTGCTGAGGGTCTGGGAGACAGACTGGGGAGATGTTGGCCAGAGGATACTAAATATCTATTGATATAGATCTATTGTACAATATGGTAAATATAGCTACTAAGAGAGATCTATTGTACAATATGGTAACTATAGCTACTAACCACGTATTGAAAACTTGAAAATTGTTAAGAAAGTAGATTTTAAGTGTTCTAACCACAAAAAAGTGGTAAGTATGTGAGGTAATACATATGTTAATTAGCTTGATTTAGCCATTCCACAATGTACAGATATTTCAAAACATCATGTTGTACATGATAAATATATACAATTTTTGTCAATTGAAAAATAAATAAAAATAGAGAATATTAAAACAGTAATTAACAGAAATACATAAATTAAAAAATAATTGTTGACTGTCAGGGTCCACTCCAGACATACTGAATCAGAGTCTGCAATTTAAAAAATCCCCGGGTGATTTGTATGCACAGTGACTTGGTGAGGTGCTCCTCTAGAACGTGTGGTCCATTGATCAGCAACATCAACATTACCTAGGAGCTCGCTAAAAATGCAAATTCCTGGGGTCCACCTCCAATGCATGAAATCAGAATGTGTGTGTGTGGAGGAGAGGGGACCCAGGTTTCTGTGTTGTAGCAAGTTCTCAAGGTGATTCCCATGCACCCTAAGGTTGAGTACAAGTAGTCTAGAAACCTGTTCCTCAATGGATCTTTACTCAGGCCTTTCCAATGATTTTTTGGCACTCTACAGCTTGCCCTTTTGCCATCTAATTGCTAATTAATATGCAATGGGTGGGGAAAAAAGAGGAAACCAATCTATTTCACTTCTCAATCAGATTTATGATAAAGGTTTTGGAGGAGCCCACATAATTAGAGATATTTAGGATTATCAATGGATTACAGTACTCCATGAAACACATTTCCTCCATAACCATGGTTAATTAGGAGTAGACCAGAAAAGCATTCCTCTAGAAAGGCTATTAAAAAACATAATGTAATGTTGTCATGTGCAATAGAGAATGACATATATCATGACTCAAGAAAATAAGGACCATTTATTCTCCATGAGTTTGAAGTTTGCTGAGTATGCCCAAGCACAAATCGTTTTAGAGGGCTAGAGTTGGCTTTTTTAATTTTTATATTCTCTTAGACTTTGCAACTTTGCAATTTTTCCTTAATTCTGCAGAAATTGGCAGTGATAACAGGGGACCAGAAGTCAGAAAATTATTTTAGTCATCTTCTATTCATTAATCTGTACTTTAGTCTTTAAATGTGTTTTCTTATACTCTGAGGAAAAAAGGAAAGTTCATGAGAAAGTGTATGCAAAATTGTAAAACTATACATTGTACTATATTTTTGTTTGGCTAATCTGAAAGATGGATCACATTTCATTGCAGGAAACTGCAGTCTATTTGAAAAGATGTCTACATGCCAAAAGAACATGCTGCTCACATAAATAATAACAATGTAATTTGAACGTTCTCACAAAAGCTATAAATGTTCTACCTCAAGGTAAACATTTTAATTAAACTGAAAAGTCATTTTTCTTAACATTACCAGCAACTTTGCCCACTCTCCCCTTCTCCAGACCTGCTAAAATGTACCAAATACAAAAAATAAGGACAGAGGTAGCAGCTTATGTAAAGCATGACTGATGAAACACCAGAATGTACGGAGGCAAAAAAGAGAGAAAAAAAAAATTGTCCTTGGAAGTGCAGGCACTTCTGCAGAACAATTAACTTAATTAACCAGACGCCATGAATATTCATAAGGCTGTTAATGTCTTCCACATCCAAACAGATAAATGTGATGTAATGACTTCCTAGCCAAGCATATCTAAAATTCTCATGAAAACGGCACCTACTCCTTGGTTCTTTGCCTGAAATATCATAGAAATTAACAGTCCCTCGGCAATATTTTATTCTTCTCAAATTAATTGGAAAGCATGAATTTATTTATGTGAACTCTATAGGAATATATGGCTTACAGCCATCAGTATGTGGATTGAGCCTTGTTTTACAACAACTGGATTGCTTTTTTATTTTTATGTCTTCTCAGGCTTTTTTTCTCTATGGCTCCCACCCCCTTTAATCAGAATTTCTGTGTATAGCTCCTTAGCACCTGTTCCCATAGCAACAAACATCATTCCTAATAGCCAGCAGTTCAAATACAGGCTTCCCCACATCTGATCCATTTGAGTCTGACCATAATTCAGCAGCTTAGTCTGTTGGCTCAGTGGAGTAATTTACTAAACACTCTCTCTCTGGGTGTCTCACTCCAGGAGGCAAGCAACTTCAAAGGCAGACCGTCTCCTCATGTTCAGCTTGGAAACTTCCTGCCTACTTCTTGTTCCCATTCGCTAGCAAAAGCCCTGACTGGGCATAAAGTCCTCAAATTAAATACACCCCACACATGTCGTTCTTTTCCTATTAAATGGAATTAGTAAGCAGGAACTCTCATACAATGACCAGAGTTTTGGCAGCACATTGTATCTTCTAAACGAAAAGTGTTAAAATGTCATTTTTACAAATATCCATTGATTTCAAAATCAGAAATATGCTTAGAAATGATAGTAGTGATAAAACTCAATGCTATTATTTTATAAAATGAGTTACATATTAAAAAGATAAGCATAACCACCAGTTTTTGTTGCTAACTTCCCACTTTATGTCAAATGCATACCTGTGGGGACACCCATCCTTACACTTTTGATGCATGACAGTTAATGAATGACCTCAGGAATTTAAGTACTAATGAAGAGAAATAGTGACGTAAACACATCCACTCTGCATAGAGGATAATATTGGTAAGGTTCCACCATTACAGTCAGAACTACTAAAATGACATGAAAAGTCAAAAAAAAACAAAATGACAGGAAAAGATAGTCCAAAATGCATCCTTTTTCTCTGATGGAGTGACCCTGTTTTAAAACTTCCTATCTGGTACTGTGTAACCATTAGACCTTTTTATGGGAAAGTAGAATAATAATAATCTTAAGTATTGATTGTTTACCCATGTATTAAACCCTTTGTACATACCATCTAATTTAGTACAATACCTTATAATAACGTGAATATTATATATGTTATCCGTATTATATAGATTAGAAAAGTGAGACTCACAGAGATCAAATGAACAAATGTTCAAAATCTC